CGGCACCTAGCCGGTTCCTCGCCACCCGCCCGGGCCGACCCCCGCCGCCCGGCGCCCACTGCCCAGCCGCTTACCTTAATAGTCCCGTCCATTTGGCCAAGTCTGCAGCCGAGCCCCCCAATATTCCACACATTGACCCGGTTACAGCCTGACCTCGCAGCCCCTTCGGATTAGCCCGGCGCGGCCTCCCTGGCGCCCTGGGCCCTCCCTGCGTGCCCCCTGCGAGCGCCCTGCCCTCGCTCCCCTGTGCACGTTTGTTGTTGTAGCGGAGCGAAAAAGAGACAGTTAACCGGATGAAACTTTTTTTCAGCTAATTTTGGGAAGTGACTTCACTTTGCGAGTGGGGAGGAAGTCCTATCTCTCTCTCTCTCTCTCTCTCTCTCTCTCTCTCTCTCTCTCTCTCTCTCGTCTCGAGCTCTCCTCTCTCTTCCCCCTGGTCTTCCCTCCCCCCACACCCCCTCTTCCTCTCGGCTGGTCCTGCTTTTCGCATCACACACTATATAAATATACGCGGAGATGCCCAGATACATTCATGCACTGCGCACACAGGATACTTGCTCCTGGGAGATAAGAACCAACCGGGAACAATGACCGGGTCCACGCCCAGCGTCCGCGCCCGGATTCCCGCAGTCTGCATCCCCCTCATTACCTTCCCCCCAAATCCAAAGCCAAAAGCTTTTGGCCTCTTTCCTCTTCCCGGGGCGGTTGGCCGAAGGTGGCCCTCCTGACTCATTCACTTTCCGTTTCTTCCCACAGATACGTTCATTAATGCTTTTTCCAGCCGGAGGCAAACTTTTGGGGGGTGGGGGGACGGCGAGAGAGTTTACTAGGGCTGAGGATAACCTGGCGCCTCCTGCCAGGGAAGATCCGAACGCAGACCGAGGCAAACCAAACCATTAAAAAGTGCATCCAATAAGAATTTTTCCACTCTGGCTGCCGGGGTGCGGCAGACTCCCGGAGCGGCTCACCCACTCATCGACGCGGATTCGAGCGGTTTCGGGCTGACCCTCGTGTCGGGGACGCGGACTCCACTCTGGGCGCATTGTTAGGAGAAGGACGTCCTCGGGGCGGCGCGCCTAGACCCTCGACTCTGGGTGCCCGCGGAGAGCGGGAGCGGAGGCACCCTAGGCCATCCATCCGCATCTTCTTGGGTCAAGCCCCCAGCGCTTACTCCAGCCCTACGGCCCAAGCCAGCACTGACTCCCAGGCCAGAGTCCAGGACCCCGAGGAACCGACACCACGGCGGGATGTTCCCTCCACCGCGGTCAGCAGGTCCCAGGAGCGCAGCACGCAACAGCGCGGTACGCACCCAAACGACTCCCGGGTTGAGACCTGGAGGCCCGCGCCCGGGACTGTCGCCCCCACCCGGCCCACCTCGACACCCGGCCCTCCCAGAGACCTCCCCATCTCCCGCTGGTCCTCAGTGTACTCCGGCTGGGGAGTTTCAGAGGTCTGGGCGCTCTCAGCCTGACTCCCTTCTCCCCGACCTCCAAAACAGGTTACCTTGTCCGCGCTCTCCAGACCACGCTTTGGACTTTCTCACTTTTATTTAAGAGTCCGCCGGGGGAAAGAGGAAAAAAAAAAAAAAAAAATCCAGAGAAGATCCAAGTCAATTGGAAAGAAAAAAAAAAAAAAAAAAAAAAAAATATCAAAAGGGTGTCCAGAGCGGCGAAAAAAAAGTGACTTCTTATTAATTCTTTATTTCTTCAGGAGCAATTGAGCTCCAGAGCTCGCTCGCCTCCCTCCCGCCCCCTCCCCCTCTCGAAATTAGTCTCATCAATTCAGCTCCAATTTTGGGTTCCAATACAGACACGGGTCTGAACGTGACCAGACCTGGAGTGGCGGGTGCAGCCTGCCAGCAATTGAGACTCAGTGTGCGTGTTGGGGGTGGGGTGGGTGGATGGTGGGATGGGGGCCGGGCCGACTCCCCCCCTCCTGTCTGCTTCTCAATCCAGGGGTCTGCTCGGGGGCTCCCCTGGGACCGCCACATCTGGTTACCGCTAGCGGGGTCAGTCCCCCCCCTTTGCCTGGGGCCACCAGTTCTGGAGTTCAATTAAAAGAAATCAGGCTTAACCCTTTCCTCCCCGCGGCCGGCTGCCTGCCCTCTCGCTCCCTTCAGCGTTTCCACGTGCTTTCCAGAGAGGAAAGAGGTTAAAGGGAAAGGAAGAATGAATTACATCCTTTCAAACCCCAAATTGTTTCCTTTTCAGCCCAGACTGTACCGACCTTCAAACAACAACTGGGCTTTCAAGGAGGGTGCTGGGAGGCAGCTTCCCACCCGGACTTCACCAGAAACCCTGCACCCCAGCCGCACTACTCCTCTTTCAGCCAGAAAGGACTCAGACTCCACCGCCCTGAGGCCCCCTTCTGGGAGCTGGGCAATCACAGAGGCTGTTGAGGGCCACCCCACAGCACAAGGTCGACTGCCCCCACTCCTACCCACACTGCTCCCAGTGCTTCAGAAGGTCTCTCTGTGGCCAATGCCACAGGGCTGGTTTCTCCTCCCAATTCCTGTTGGCCTGACTGTCTTCCTTGTATTGATCTGTAGTCACCCCCAACATCCCTATTATGGTCCCCCAACTCTTCTTAGCATTAGCTGCTTCCCCCAATGGAAACATTCCCTCAAGGAACTAGATTAAAATGAAGAGTTGCCCTCCCATTTCAGCTGTGGAACTCAACAGCACTTTCTGTTTCTGCCTGTAAAGCCAAAACTATGGCCATTTCTTAATTTTGAAACAAGAGGAGGCTGGCATAGGCATTATCCTATGTATATACTAGCCCTGGAGTGAGGAGCATGTGTCTCTGCTCAGAGGGGTCTCTGCTCAGAAAGAAGACCACCCCACACACACACCATCACTCTGAACAGACCTCTGTAAGGATATCCGATTCTCTCCTTCCAGTGTTGACATGCTAGTGGGCAAGTTTGCCCGGGTTTACGTAACTGGGTTAGATGCTCAACTCCACTGCTGCTGCTGCTTTTTTAAATCTGAAAGGGGGGGGGAGTCCTAACCAAGCACAACAGTAAACAAGTCTGCCCTGTTTAATGTGGTTACCACCAGACATCTGGAAAGATGGTTTGATCCTGGCAGCTCACATTGTTTTCACGAGCAGCCAAAGAGAATATTTTGAATGTTTGCATTGAGACAAATTGATAGAGAGCCTGCGGTGAGGCCGCTACAAATGAAAACTGTCTTGTGGGGGGGGTGTGTGTGTGGAGGGGCTTCCCCTTCCCTCTCTGCTCCCCCCTGTCTCCCTCCTCACCCTCTCCTTCCCTCTCTCCTCCCACCCTTTCTCTCTTCCTCCCCCTCTCTCCTCCCTCCTTCCTCCCGGCCTAGCTTGGGGAAGGTTGCCCCAGCCCACACACAAGCACACACCCTCTTTCCCAGTTCACCAGGGCTCCACCCCACCTCACCCTTTCACAGACAGTGCAGGGCTGGTGACCAGGAATTGGTATAGGTGCCTATTCCACCAGCCCAGGGCTAGCTTTCAAGTCAGGGGAAGTTCACAACTGAAGAAGCCCCCGCCAAACATCTAAAACAAAAGCTACCAACTGGAGAAAAAAATATCCCAACAACCCAAGAGCCCACCACACATGTTTAGGTCTGGGGTCACTTACAGAAAGCGTGCGCATGGGGGCGAATACTCAGGAAATATTTGGATTTGGAGCATTTTCATTGGAAAGTTGGTGAGATGACTCGCCTCGCACCATTCGCACTTGACAATATTTTCAAAGATGAGGAAGTCCTGCTTCCCCCGGGAGGGGAACGGCGGGGCGAAACGTGTCTTGGCTCGCTCAGTGTCAGCCCTTTTGACCGGGTCAAGACTTTCCAGACGCGGGCTTCCCGGGTTCCTTCGGTTCCAGCCTGGGTTGGGGGTGGGAGGCCGCGGCAGTCGGAGCCGGGTCCCTGGGGTACCTCCGGACCCCGGGGCGGCTTCGTCGCTTGAAACTCCGAAGGATGCCAGGCCTGGCAGAATGTCTCGGGCGGATCCTTCCCCCTCCAAACCCCCTCCGCCCCTCCCACCTCCCTCTGGTCCAGCGCGGCCGCAGCGGGTATCCGAGCTGGCAAAGGGGGAGGAGGAGGGCGGGAGAAGAGGGGCGGGGGGAGGGGCGGGCGGGCGAGCGCCAAAACTCCAGACTGCACAACTGCAGCTTCAAGTGTCTGGCCTCTCGCTTGAGGCCATAATTAATTTGAGATTTATTTTTATTGGAGAACTCGAGTCTCGTCTGACCTTAGCCAAACAAGGCAGCTCGAGCCGCCCCTGGATGCGCTTGAATGCCGGGGAATATTTCTGCAGGAAGGCTCTGCAGGCGCGCCTGCTTTGAATTTGTTTCTCAGACTTCATCTACTCACAGATCGAGGGAAGATTTAGAGCCCCTGCTCGCCCTGCCCGCTCCCCACGCTCGTTCTTGCCTGAGCGCCGAGCGGGTTCAGGACGCTACGTGGGAGGCCGCGGCGGCGGGAGGGCGCGGGAGGGGGAGGGTCTCCGAGGCGCTGGCGGCCCGGCCCCCAGACCACTCGGCGTCGACGAGGAAACCCCGAGGGAGTCCGAGGTTGACCAGAGAGCGCAGGCTGACAAAAGGTGGAGACCAGCCAGGTGTCCGGACCCTCACCCAGAGTCGGCGCCAAGATGGGGACTTGGGATGGGGGACGGGGTGGGCTCCATCAGCCCCCTCCTCCCAGCCGCCCCAACAGTGCTCCCTCTAAGCACAGACCAGCGTCCTTGAAAGGCAGCTTCGAAACCTGGAGCCCGACGCCACCTCTGGGTCTTGTCGCCACGAACATTCCAGGGCTAGCGACCTCCTTGGGTCTGGAGGGCGGAGGTGGGACGGGGCGTCTCCCCAGAAGGCAGGAGGGGCCGAATCCCCAGGCTGGCAGGTGGGGGAGCGAAAGCAAGGAGTCTGGGGCACGCAGGAAGAGGAACAGAGGAGGGCCCTGCCGGTCTCGAGCCGGGCAGGCCTGGAGCCTTGGGGGTTGTGCTCGCGCAGGGAGAAGGCTCTGCCCTCCGGGGGACCGCGCACAAGCGGGTTAGGGATACTCCACCCGGTGTCCTGGTATCGGTGGGGGTGTGGGGTGGAGGAGCTGGCTCCCTGGGTTTGAATTCTAGTTCCGCATTTACCAGCTTTGTGACTTTGAACAAATTGCTTAACCTCTCTGTGCCCTAGTATCCTCATCTGTACAAAGGCGTTATCCTAGGACTTATCTCAAAGGGCCGCTGTAAAGATGAAAGGAGTGTTTAGAACTCGCCTGGCAGGCTGCACAGCTCCGCCGCTATGATGTGTATCCTTGACTCTGCCCCTTACAAGTTCTGTCCCATTCACCTCACAATGCCTCCGTCTCTCATCTGCAAAACGGAAGACTCCAGGGTCGTCATTAATTTTAAATGAGCTAGTACAAATCCAATGCGTAGAACAGGGGCTGGCAAAGGTAAGGACCTTCTGATTGGCAGCCGTCAATGTCGTTGCCGCGTTATTCACGTACCACTGCGCGCCAGTGTCTTAAACAGTCACCCTCGCTCCCTCTTTCCCCTTCCCTTGCTCAGCCCAGCCCACTCCCG